CCGCTGTCCATAGGGACATGGATGCATAGTTCTTCAGCAACATTTTCTTTTCTTGGGATGTTTTTCATAAATATCTTTTTAAAGATATTTCATTTCAGGGGTTTCTAAGAAAATATTTTTGGAAGATATTTTCATTCTGGGCCAGTTGTGCAGTTTTCACTTTTTGGAGGGGCCATTGTGCAATTAATGAAAGTTATTACTAAATGCCTCGTTTTGAGCCTGGATCCTTGTACGGGATTCATTTTCACTTTTCATCGAGTCGTGTACTCTTAGAATTTCCTTCTGGTTGTTTTTCTCCAGTTTCAGGATTTCCGGTCCCGATTGCCGCCGAACTTGTTCGGGGCATATCTCTCTGCTCGGGACTCAGTTTTCGACGCCGTTTTTTTCATTGTTCATATTTTCTCATTTTGGTTCTTTTTTGTTCATATAGTTTTGCTATTTGAGTGCGTCTGCTCAAATTCCACTTTTCCATACCAGGTAGGGCCCTTTCGGGGCACTTTTTGAGATTTTCTATAAATAGGGGGTGAAATAAGAAAAATCAGATTTTCTCTATCTCTCACCCCTCTCTTAGCCAGATCTCATGGCAGCTATGGCTACCATCTTCTCTTTCTTCTTTTGAACTTCTTCCCTTCAATAAAATGTTATAATGCCTTAGTATTTTATGTTCGTCTTGGCAAAGCCTTTGATTCCACCGATTGGAATCTCGTTTTGGCCATTTCTTGAGTTCGGGTTTGAAGTCAAGTTGTGATTTTGATAGGGCTTCCTTGGGGGTTATGATCATCGTGTTGTCCCCGACAAAACCCCGAAGTTTCGACGGATTCGGAGCGGTTTCATTTTGGTAGGGATTTGAGATTTCATCTCAAATGGAGGTAGGGGATGTTTTAGAATTATGGATGTGCTGTATTGAGTGTTTTCCATGACTATACAACTTGTTTGCATGCCTTGTATCAAATCTAGAAAATTAGTAATATTTATTTCTTTGTTTAAGATTTAAATTTCAAGGATGTATATAGTTTAGAATTGAATTGTGGCATGATGATAAATTATGCTTTGATATATTTGTTAACATATATTAAATTAGAATTATTTGAATAAGAATTGCACTTTTTATCTAATAGTTATCTTTTGTGAAAGTTTAATTATCATGGACGTACCTTGCATGAAATTAACTTGTGATATGCTTTTAAATTAAGTCTTAACATGTTCTTTAACATACTTTAATTTGAGAGCATTTGGATAAGTATGAAAATCTAGAGATTTTAATTAAAATGATTAATTAAAATCTATTTAATGATTTCATTGGCCTAATTAAGTTTTTAACTTGATAATTGTGATGATTAGGAGTTGCATACTAGCATATATTAGTTTGGGACCATTTAATGTTGTTTTAGGAATTAGGGATTTGACTATCATGATTTAATTGAATTCCATTTTATTATTCAAATGGCCTAATTAAGTTTTTGAATTGGTATATGCAATGACCATGCTATGTTGTTTAACATATGTTAATTAGAGATCATTTGATTGAGATTTGAAACTTAGAAAAATTAATTAGGTTATGTAATTAATTTCCGTTTCTATTGCGTTAATGATTTGATCATGTGTTTGATATTGATTGTATATCTAAATCATGATTTTGGGCTTGTATTAGATTCTTCAGTTCATGTTTTCAATATTGGATTATGTTATCATAGCGTGTAAGGAATCGCACACTGAAGATTCGACATGTGATGTTATTATAGCGTGTAACGAATCGCACTCTGAAGATTCGACATTGTCATCCTATAGTAGTTGTGGATTTAGAGTATGTAATGTGTGGTTTCAACCTACTTATGCATGAAGATAGTTTCGTATATGTATATAAGTTGTTAACTTATTATTTTGGAACCGCTTGGGACATTGCTTGATAGCTAGGGTTCTGCTCTAATACAGGGACAAGAGTCCTCTAAGTCAAAAGTACGCGCGTTGGGTAGACTTCCCAGGGGTTAATAGCCCAAAAGAAGTCATGTGTCAGTCTGATCTGAATGATGTCCAAGTATATCCGCTTTTGTTAATTTCACACTTTTAGATTTCTAGTTGATAACTTAGAGAATCTATATCTTGATGTGTGGTATTAGAAATTCTAATTATACTAAATTACTATATTTAGTTGATTTCGCACTTTTAGATTTCAAGTTGATAACTTTGAGAATCTATGTCTTAATGTGTGGTATTACAAATACTAATTATACTAAATTGTTATATTTGGTTGTTTTCGCATTTTAGATTTCAAGTTGATAACCTTGAAAATCTATATTTTGCTACTTGGTATAGCATGTTTCTATGTTGGTTAAATTGTATAGATATTGTGATTCATGTTTTGTTGTTTAAATGTGATTTAGGAATGATACTATAGATTCATTTGGAATATAGACATTAGGTGGCATGACTCACTTTGGTTGTTTTCACATTTTGGATTTCAAGTTGATGACTTTGGGAATCTATATCTTGTTGCCTTGTATATAGCATGCTTCTATGTTATTTGAATTGCATGAATGATGTGATTTATGCTAGAGATGATATAGGGTAGCTTAGGATGCTCCCTGAGTCTTACCCTTGACATAGACGTTATGTGGCATGAACCCTTTAACATGTTTCACCTTAAGGTGATAAAATTGTAAAATGCTAGGTCGATGCATGCTCATTTCCTACGAGTAGCTTTATGTTACTCACCCACATAGTGGAGACATTTTTCAGGTACATGAATCAAGGTTAGAGATTCTCACCATGCTTAGATGATTTGAGGACTTGAAGGGTTCAATTCTTACGTAGGTTGGCTTGAAATGCCATTTGTAACTTTATATATCAAATGTGTATTTTTTATTCCATTTATGTAATGTGTACGTAAGTACACCCTTTACAATGTATTCGACATGTATAAGATGAGGCCGGATGCCAATAACATGTATCTTGTATCCTTTGTAATTTATGACTTCATGAAATATATGAGAATATTGAAAAATAATAAGTTATTGTTTCACCATGGGTGCATCGGGTGTGGGAATTCCATATTCATTCTTTCATAGTATCTCTTTAATCATGCATGAAGTGTGGCCAAGGGCCAAACGGTGTTTTCAAACCATTTCATAATTTTGAGTTCCAAGTTTTCATTCCAAGCTTCATTTTAGTCATTTTAGCCGTCGGGGGGTCGTATTTTGCATCGGCTGTATTTTTAAGCCTTGAATCATTGTAGCGCGTCCTAATAGGTAAGTTACGTCTGCATGCATGGTCGTTTTCGGGAAAAACTTTTTCGTTGGCGAAATGAGTCTCTTATGGATTCATTTCACCTTTTTGTTGAAAAATTCGGATTAAGGGCGTTTTGGGGATTTATTTTGGGAAATAAATTCCGATCTTGACTTCATCGTATAGAAAATGTGATTTCGGGGGGAGTTTCTTCACGACGTTTTTCCAAAAAATGTCATCTTAGTCTCTAAAACCGTGCTCCAATCTCATTTTTTTGCTTTTTCTGCAATTTTACTGTTTAAGTTCAACCCTGGTCAAGTTGAACCGGTTGAAGATGTGTCTTTTGGTCCAGCATGGGTGTACTGCCCATGTTGAACCGGTTCAAGGAGGCTAAACCGGTTCAAGTCTTGCAGTTACTGTTGTAGGTTCAGCTTTGACCTTCCAACTTCGAATTGTTGTAACTTCTTCGTTTCAACTTTGAAATGGTCCGTTCTTGAGTGTAAATTGACCGCGTCGAAATAAGCTTTCCAATGGTACCAATTTTAGATTCGGATTCTTCTCGTAACTCAAGATATCCGTGTTTTAATGAGAGGGTGTTGGATTTAGTTCGAACCGAGATAGGGTTCATCTGGGATTTCAGTTCCTTTGGACTTGGGACTTTAGGTGAAGTTACCAAAGGATGTTTTTGATCTCATTTGACTTGTTGAAAGTCAAATTCCTTCCTCTCGGGGTAAAATGACAATTTTACCCTTGGTCCTTCTTTTGTAGGGTTTTGATATCCTTGTCTTCGTTTTAATTCCGCTGAGTCTCGAAATTCCTTGAAGGGCCATTCTTGTGCCTTAGGGATGATGTACATCTCTAAGGACTTGGTTTTGTTTTGCTTCTGCATTTTGGATCCGTTTCGGGTCATCACAGGACACACTGAGTTGAAAAATCCAGGGTCGTCACAGGAATACTTGAACCGGTTCAAGTAGGCCATAATTTAAAATTAATTTTCAGCTTGAACCAGTTGAAGTTAGGCATAATGTAAAATCTTTCAAAAGCCTAATTTTGAACCACCAAAATGTCGTCACACACTCACTTACCTTCCTAATGTATTGTACTCATCATCACGGAGTGTATCGAAGCATGAGCACAATCACTTCTTCAATTCCGCTTCCAATATTAATTCTTGATAAATCAAACAAAAAATTTCAACTCAATCGGACTCGTTTTGACAACGAAATTTGTCAAGTTACAAATTTATATTTCAGAGCCTATTCTCTCATTCTTCTTATTCTTCTTCTGTTTTTTTCCCACTTCTTAAACTTTTTTCTCTTCTTATTTGTATTTTATATTTTTTATATTTTTGTTTGTCGTATTTTCTTTTCTTTTTTTTTTTCTTTTTTTTTTTTACAATATTTGCCTCCTAATTTGAAGGATCAATATTTGTGATGTTAGTTATATTTTTTTTATTATTATTATTTTTTTTTTGTAAACCAAATAAATTGCGCCGGGATATGAATTTCTAACTCCATGCGGGACTATAGTTCCTTGTTTTTTGAAAATCAGTGCAGGACCTCTTTATTTTTGTGAATAGCTAGAGGACATAGGTAAGCGTTACAGTGGTTTGTGGATAGTGGTTGTTTTGGGCCCTCTTTATTTTGTAGTTGCGATGAGTTCTCTTGTTGGAAGATGAAATTTGTACATATCTAAAACAAAAAAAAGATCCCCACCCACGTGAAACAAACATGGATATATCCATTATCCATTTATCAACATGTCTGCAAAAAAAAAAAAAAAAAAAAAAAAAAAAAATTTATCAACATGTACTTAGTAGATATTACCAAAAACACGTAGTACTATTGGTGCGTGTATTTGGACTTCCCAATAATTTCTGTGGTGCAACAGAGCTTCTCTCTCTCTCCCTCTCTCTCTCTCTAAAGCTGCAGCGAGGTAAATCCCTACTCTACTCAAAACACCCTTCAATCGAAGTCCATGTTCTTTGCTTGCTCTGATCTTTTGACACACTCTTTCTGGGTTCTTAAAAACCCATATAACAATTTTTATTTTATTTATTTTTTTATTTATTTTTTTTCAGATTTGAGTTCAGGTACATATGGCTTCAATAGTTGCAAACCTTGTTCCACCACTGTTCGTCAATGGCAGACAACCCCTTTTGAGAACTCTTCGGAAATTTGCAGTCTCTCCCCTTAGAGGTATGCCTGACTGATTTTTATATAACCAATTCGAATTCTGATTCATTGTTAACTGTGTGTTGCTTATTGAATTTCTGTTTCCATATGATGTGTACTTTCTGTTAATTTTGTGGTTAATATGTTGATATGCAAATGTAATACCATCGGGAAGTTTTTTTTTTTTGGTCTTTTATAATGCAGCTGTTTTTTTTTGGTCTTTTATAATGCAGCTGTTTTTTTTTGGTCTTGTTGCCAACTTTAGATTCATGTAGATGGTACCCAAAATCAAACTGAAAATAATAAATAAATAACTAACTAAATAATAAATTTATTGGGATGAATTTTTTTCCTATTCAAAACTTTTGGAACATGGGCATCTGGATAAATGTAAATTTTTGAAACATATTCTGGAAAGTTTCAGCTGTAAATTTGTCAATTTGTACAAAATTAGACTCTAGCCAAAAAAATAAAAAAAATTTAAAAAAAAATAGGAAAGAAAAGAGAAAAGTGATTGTTACATATAAGTTTGTGAAGTTATAACTATCTGAGTAGAGTACTTATTCCATGAAAGTGATATAGGGATACCTGTGAATTAGCTTGATTTTTGGTTCTTTTTCCTGTGGAAGAAGAATTAACTAGTGGAAGTTTCTTTGAGATTCAAAAAAATGTGAGTTAATCTATGTACTGTTTAGCAAAGTTGATGACTCCTAGTGGAGTATGATGAGCTTGATATAAAACTTTTATGGAAGACTAGTCATGAAAATCAATTGAGTGTGAAAGTCGAGCTAAATTCAAATGGGTCTAATTAGTGCTAGGGTTTTCGTGCAAAAATCCTTGTATAGAGAACATTTGAAGTGAGGGATGGGGTTCATTCAATCTAATATACTGTAGCACTTCATGCTTTTAGGTTTCAATTTTCCTTATTGGGTTCATTATATTATCTATTGTAGAGAGACAACATCATGTTGCTGTTGTTGCAAAGGCAATGGGTGAGAGCTCCGATTCTTCAACCTCCCTAAGTGTTGTTAAATCTGTTCAAAGCATTGTGAGTACTCTCTGTCTCAAACACATACACAGGCTCATGCACGCACCTACACACAATGTCAAAATATTTTTGTTGCCAGTTTTAACAAAAATTGAATTGTTTGACAGAGTGAAAGCCCAAAGTGCCTGGGTAAAGTTTTCACTTTGAATACTTGTTCTTTGTTCCTTCCTGCCTCCTCCATTCTCATCCTTTTTTCTTTTTTCTTTTTTTTAAATTGACTAGCAAGTTTAGCTTGTGACTACAAGCTTGGGCACATTGTTAATTGTGTTGGTTTTGAAAGGCCACATACATACCCTATTAAGTTTACTGTGCTAAAATGTATATAAAGTTCTTATATCATGGTTCTCTGTTACGTGGTTAGTTCAAAGCAAGTGAATCACTATCTCTATATATGGATCACTTTCTGCTACTTAATACACCATGTCGTCCTAAGCGTCAGAAGAAGAAATACTAAATTTATGGAAATTTAGCAATGTTCTTGTCTCTTTTGTTTTTGATAAATCCGACACTTAGACATACCCACACTTGAACAATTACTCGAGTCCATCCAACATAAATTAACTTTGTATTGTGGTTGTATATTTTTTAATTCATATTTAGTAACAGTATTATCAAGATTATACAATTTTACATACTCTTTTTTATACTGATACTACTACTGTCTGATTTTTTTATAAGTGCTACTACCGTCTGATTTTGACTTTGGTTTGTTTGGACAGTGGGATAAATCTGAAGATCGATTTGCTCTTATTGGATTGGGATTTGCAGCTGTTGTAGCTCTTTGGGCATCTGTGAATCTAATTACAGTAATTTCTGGAAACCCTGTTTCTTGTAGAAGAACAAGAAGGAATGTGCTAGCAATTGGTTGATGTCGAGAAATTTTTGGGAAACAAGTTAAATTGAAAGGAGCTAGTCAGAACATTAAGAAGGCATTACTTAAAGGGGATAAGAACCTATATAAAATGGATCTGCTGGTGAATTTTCTATCATCGAGTTCATCATTTTGGTGGACAGACCCCCTCTTTAGTGTGGAGCATACGTTTTTTTTTTTTTTGTTTTTTTTTTTCTTTTTTCTTTTTCCTTTTTTCTTTTTTTGTCATTAACATGTTTCTCTTTATATTTTGTATTATGTTGGTTATATTTGATGATTTTTTTTTTTTTTTTTTTTTTTTTTTAACTGCCCTTCAGTACAATGAATGTTCTGATTTTTTTCTTTTATCACATGAATAGGCCATTGACAAACTTCCTCTTGTCCCTAGTGTATTTGAATTCATCGGGATATTGTTTTCTTCGGTAAGTATTGTTACATGTTTATGCTCAAGTTAATTTGCTAGAAAGAAGGAGGAAAGAGATGACCAACTTTCATTGTTGAATTACTAAAACTTCTTTGCAGCGCCAAATAGTCATAAAAAATCAATTTTCCTTCTCAGGAGTCAAATGAGTATCTTACATGCAATATATCATTCTAGCAAGCTACTTCTTTGTTCACATATTAACTTGAATTCTTTCTGTTTCAGTGGTTCATATATCGCTATCTCTTATTCAAACCTGATAGGTAAGTAATTTTTTTCACACAGAAATTTTGTTTGTGCTCGCCATTGAATTAAAATGCATAGTTTCCGTTTAACAATGACAATCTTGAGTTACATTAAGTATAAAATAATACTAGAAGGAAGACATTTTTTCTTTTTCTTTTTCTTTTTTTTTTGGTTTAACCGCTCAATCGTTGTTTGTCACGCACCTGTATTAGTACAATAGAACAGCTGATTATTATGGCTTTTGCTCACGCTTGCACGTATTCTGTGTTTTTTTGCTGCACAGGGCAGAGCTATTTCAGAGCATCAACAAGTCGGTATCGGATGTTTTGGGCCAGTAATGTGCAGCCGGATGAGATTGGAATTCATAATTATGTTTGTCTACAATTTATATTGTTGTAGCACTGAAGAATGTAACCGGCATTTGTGCGATGGACAATGTCAGCGCTGTAATATAACCATGACAAAGCATTTTAACTCGTAATCCCTTGTTCTGTGGTTCCAATTCAAGATGGATTCACATATTATTATTATTAATTTTTTTTTTCCTACTCTATTTTCTTTTCTAGCAATCAGTCTTATTGTGTGCTTAAGATTTGATTTGGCGCGCTTTACTAATTTTTAAGGTTAAAAGGCCATCTGATGGAGGATAGAGAATATATTTTCTGACCAAAGGGGATCCAGAAAAAGCTCATTAGTCATGAATGACTTTTAGAGCAAGTCAAACCTTGTTCAACCGGCGAGTGTACTACTTCTATATGTCATTTCAACTTCTGAGGGACACATAAATTTTAAAATTTTAATGCATTGTTTGTGAGAAATTTTGAAATGTTAATGTTATGTTTGGTAGCACCGAATCGGTGCCTTAGATTTAAGATTGGAATAAGTTTAGTTTAAAATGTAGACACTAAAATTTCATAGGCTTTTGTTGTGATAAATTGACCCATCAAATATGGGTCTCATGTTTAATTAAATTATTGGGTAAATTACACTGACCTTCCTTGAGGTTCAGTCAAGTTACACTGACTTCCCTTCTTATTTGACAAATTACATTGACCTCCCTTCAAGTTTAAATCTTCATAACAGAGAATACCCCTCCATTAACTGTCGTTAAAGGTCAATGCCCAGTCAATGTTAGTAATGGCTGATGTAAGTTTAAAGTTACTAACATACCCTTTTAATTATTATGAAGACAAATTTGACCTTACTTACTAAAGTAAAATTACTTAAAAACCCTCCATGGTTGCCATTACATTGGAGCCTTTTGGGCTCTCTACAATTTACTAGAATCCATTGGAGCCACTGGTGCAAGCTCTCTCCACTCAACGTTTCAAAAAGAAAAACCCCTCTCCGCTAAGTAATTTTCATTGGATGATTCTTGTACTCCGCTCTAAATAAGCAATTGTCTTTTTTTTTTTTTTTTTTTTTAACTCACCATTGAGTTACTTCATTCTTCATGTATTCCTTATTATGTAGAGTGGAGTATAAGAATCATCCAATATTAACGCCATGGGAAAATGAATTTCCTAAGTGTTTTGGTTTTGGACTTCGTTTGTAACCAAATGCAATTGGATTAATTATAAATGGAAGGTGGAGAGGATCTACTACAACCAAACCTCCAATTATAAATAATCCAATTGATTATTTGGTGCGTTTAAGTTTCAGCACCAAATATAGGTTTCTACCATACCCATTTGCTCTCCTTCTTACCTTATTTGGATTGCCTTCCTATACCATCGTTGTTGTCACCAATCAAACCCAAATATATATACACCAAATCAAACAAATATATCCTCTCTCTCTCTCCTCTCAAATTGTTTCTCATCAAACAATATATATATATATATATATATATATATATATATATATATATATATATATATATATATCCTTCCAAATTGTTTCTCTTTGACATATGAATAATTTTGTCTTTTCAATGTTCATCCTTTCGTAAATAAAATACAATAAATATAATGAGGACATATATGTAATTTCACTTGAACAATTAACACCATCCACTTGACAGCTATAATAGGGGAGGTTGGTGTAATTTGACAAATAAGAAGGGAGGTCAGTGTATATTGACGAAACCTTAGGGGAGGTCAGTGTAATTTTTCCTAAATTATTTAATTGACCCAAACTTAGTCAACTTAAATTATTTAATTAGACCAGCATCGGTGATTAAATAAAAAGATCATTATTCTTAATAAAATATATTTGGAAATAATTACTTTAATGGATAATTATAACAATATAACTAGCCCGGCGCAGTTATAATTGTGTCCTTATCAAGAAAGGGCACATGTCATCATCCTATTCAACCAAAAAATCTATAAATAGAGGTATGGAGGAAGGAGGAAGTTGTGCAGAAATTAATCCAAAAGTCTAGAGATTTAGAAGTGCAGAAATTTAGAAACTTAGAGGTCCAAAAATTCAGAGAGATCCAGAAGGTCCAGAAATTGAGAGACTCGGAAATTCAGAGATCCAGAAATGCAGAAATTCAAAGACTTTAAGGTCTAGAAATTTATAGGGATCCAAAGATCCAAAAGTGCAGTAATTCAGAGAGACTCAGAAGTCCAAAATTCCATATTAAAATACAGAAACTCTGCCGACATTCATCCCCAACACCCAATCCTTGAAGAAAAAGAACAACAAGCACAACTAAAGTCGTGTCGGTCTTCCACAAATTCAACAAAGAACAACAAGCACATCAAAATCATGTCGCTCTTTTCTACGTGATTCAACAAGTTTGAAAAATCACTAAACAACACTGTTCGAGATCAAGCTTCGTCAACCCTCGATCAGAAATCATCGACGGTCTTCCCCAACTACAAATACTTGAAGAAGATTATCAACAACCTGATTCAAGATCAAGCTCCAACAACCTTTGGATCCAACCAACAAAGGAGATTGAATCAGAAGATTGAATCAGAAGATATTTTCCTTATTTTGTAAAGAATACCTCAGAGGATTTTACCCGAATTTTCATAAATAAAAAAAATTATTATTCACCCCATATTTTGTTCTTTATTTTGCAGTTACGAAATTTGTGTGTACAAATTTTTGGCATGCGCGGTGGGACATCTTCTACCTCTCATCTCTTTCTCCTACATCAAATCTTCAACAAATTCTCACCGTCAGAATTTATAGCTTTCGACAAGATTCAGACGAAAAACAAGAATACCCCCAATGACACCATAGTCATGACAAACAACATCAATACCAGCACAAAAAGTGGTAAAAAAGGTTACAACTTTGTTAAGTGGTACTGGTGTGGCTGATGCCTAGTGCTCAAAATGATGTAAAAGTGTGAGTGTGTGAAGTGGCCACCACATTTAAAAATTTATAAAAACCACTAAACACTTATATTATGTAGTATGAAGTGAGTAGGGATCGTCCCAAGGGATTTGCAAGGTATTCGGAATCAAAGTTGGATTAGTATGTCGAATGATCAAGAGAGGTTTGGTTGGTTGAATTAAGCTACAAATAAATTGAAAGTATGCAATTTAAAACAAACTAAAAGGATTAAGGTATAGAGAATGAGATAGAGGTCTTAGGGTATAAAGTTCACCACTAAGCTTCACATCACTAAACATCTAGTATTTGTCAATTTAGGGGGATTAAATGTTGCAAAACAAGTGTATGTGTGCCACCAATTGAAACAATAAGTATGGATGACAATAACAAGTGTGAATTTTTCTACCTAGGCTAGTGTGTAGTACAAATCATCAAGTTAAAGCATTAATCCATCAATTAAACCAACAATTAGAGCACACAACAATCTAGAGAAATGTACATTTTGAAATTATAAGCAAGGATCATCAACCACAAGCATGGATTGTCTACCTATCTAGGAATTTAAAAGCAATTACACTACAGTTATACTAATGACAAGAAAATTAAACTAATTACGCTAATGGTGAAATATAATCCATCAAGCATAAGCACAATCCATCAAATAAGTCACTAGTGTAAACAATTAAACACTATGCATGACCATCACTAGATCTACAATTCCAACACACATAGACATGCATTAAATTGATAGAAAATAGTGTAAACACATGACCATCCATTTATCACACATAGACATGTTAATAGAATTGACAGATTAATTGGAAGCATTACACCATACAAATCATATAGAAACTCACGATCTATATAATCACAAGGTCAATACATTATTTACAACATAAATCCCCAAAAATAACAAAATACTAGAGTTTAGAAGGTAAGCCTAGGGTTATCTAGCCCCAAGAGGAGGATCTAGCCACTCATGGTTGTTGTCATCCAACCCTCAAGGGCTCCATCTCTTTCCTCTTTGCTTTGCTCAAGAACCCTAATCTAGAGAGAGAAAAACTATGTCTAATCTATGTAAAAACTAGCTAAAAGATTGGAACCCCAACAAAATGGTTCAGTTTGATTTAAATACAAGCCCTTTTGTGGAGGCAACAAGTTAGAATATGGCCTTCTAATTGGTGCAATCTTGCAGCCCAAAGTTAAGTGGAGTTCGGGCGCGCTCGGGAATTAAACAACTCTCTGCAAGCAAGATTTCGATCGATCAAAGGGGTTTTCGATGGATCGAACACTTCAGCATTCGATCTAAGCTGACGTGACATATTAATCTTGACATCTGGCATCCTTATCCACTAAGCTGGCACTGCCTTGATTACGATCGATTGAGGATCTCTTCGAACAATCGCCACAATGTTCGATCGATCGAAGACTCTCAGTGCAATTTTTCTAACTTTTTTCGGATTTTCTTCTCGACTCCAAAAGGGCTTAATAGGCTGTTTTTAGCCTATTTAAACCTTATTAACCTGAAATAGACAAAAACACAAATTAGAACTAAAACAGGAAAATAAAATAGATGAATGGATTAAAATACCCTAACTTAGGTGCTAAAATGCGCAACATTTGAGCACTTATCACACCCCCAAATTTAGATATTGCTAGTCCCTAACAATAAACTACAAAGAAAAGAAAGAAATAAACAACTGAGTAACTATGAACTAGAAAGTAATAAAAGGATAACGCCACTTTCGTAGGGAACACGGATGCATTTAGCATATGCAACAAGCCTTTTAAACCCCTATGTTACCCCTAGTGGACGAGTGAAGTCTCGTGAGGGTTTCCAGAAATGATACCCACAAACATTAAGCTCATTCTCACTAAAGAGGCACTAACATTCCAAACAAGCATTGGGAGAAAACTACTTCAAGTATGCCATTTTTCAGCCATTTCTAAGCAATCTCCCAAAATTTCAACAACAAGCAAGCAAATATGGTCCTCCACACATCAAGCAAGATGATCATGCAAATCAAAACAATTCTAGAATCCTTTTAAGTGAAGGCATCAAGTATGTTACAATCTTAGCCAACTAATGAAATGGTCAACCAGCCTCAAGCTAGTACACAAATCTAGTACCGATCATCAAGATAAACAATGAACCTTTTTTTAAGCTTTATTAACTATATGCACTTATTCTTTTTACTCTATTTTTTTATTTTTTTTTATTTTTTAAAAGGATCAAAGATGAAAGCATAGTGCAATGTA